CTTGGAATCCCTGCGGCACCTCCTTCTCGACCTGTTCTACCTCGAAGGGCTGACAAGAGTAACCTTGCTTGTTCTGCAAGCACAGTCTGTGTGTCTGTATTTGCTTGGCTTTGGGCTTGAGTCTCTCAGGCTGGCTTGCCAGCAGCTCGCCAAGAAGAGGCAAAAAGCAGAAAGGGCAGAGCAAACTTACCAGCCACGCAGCTTGAAGGCCTGTGGGCAGTCGGGGTTCACGAGGACCGTGCTCGATGAAACGACAGAGAGACTCCGCCCCCCAAAATCTGAGACTCGGGCTCCCCGGATGGCCACGACAGGCTGCCGGGAGCCATCGAATGTTTCAGCCTGCAAAGCCGGAGGAGGAGCAGAGATGTTAAGGTCACGGCAGCAGGGCACGCAAGGGCAGCCTCAGGGAACTTGAGCAGAAAACGAAGATGCCCTCAGATGGCCGGGAAGGGCCGGAGACATTAAGCTGCTTGTCCGCCTGCCTTTCGGGGAAGGAAGGCCTTCCCGCTGCTCCTTCCGAGACCCCGGACCTTTGTACCTCAGGCTTCCTCGCTTGAGGGGCATAAGGTCTGGGGGGGCAGCAACTCTGCGCTCTTGCCTTCAGCCCCAGTGCTGCACCATGCAAAAGGAACCCCTAACCCCAGCCTGATCAGGGAGCACCCCCTGCTCCCCACCACTTACTTCCGCTCCCCAGAGAGTGACTGTCACCATCTTGCCAGACATGTCCATCAAGTGCATATCTCTCTTGAACACCTCCCGACTGGAAGACCTGATGGTGATTTTTGCAGCATCCTCGTAGCTCTTGCAGATCCCAATTACATCTGAAAAACAGCCCAGGCTTGATGGGCACAGATCTTGCCCGCCCCCAAAAGGAGACTGCCTTCGTCAGCACGGCCTGCCAGGAAGCTCTTCCTCTGGACTGAAGGACTGCAGCCCCCCCATGGAGAATCTCTGCTTCAGAATTAGCCCCGCCAGTCCCTCAGTGCTTCTTACAAAGCTCTTTCCTTACTGGCAGCCCAAAAGGGAAAGCAACAGGGCTGAAAATGAGGGCAGCTTCTCTCCAAAGAAGAGGTCAGCACGCACCTCAGGCACCCCATGGTTGCCCGAGGTCCCAGGCAGCAGCAGGACCTCGGGCAACTTTGGTCTTGCTTCCTAGGCTTCCGTAGCCCCTTCCGGCTGGCCCTGGGGCCGAATGGCAGGTCAATGCGCAGCAGGCACCGCGCAGAGGCCCAGAATGGGAGGAGCGTCGCTGCCCTCAGGCTCCCCGCTTTGCGCAACCTCCCTGGGTTCCGCCAGTGTGAACTTGGCCCCTGAACGGAAGTCCCAGGGCAGCCTTCTCTTGCCCTCAGCCACAAGAGCTACCGTGGGGGCCTTGCAAATCCTTCAAGCGGACATGCTGCTGCGGCTTGCTGGAGGTGATTGGTGCTGGTAGGGCTTTCCAGCCAAGCCAGCCTTTCAGTAAAAGCTGAAATCACATTGCCAGCAGGAGTGGGCAAGTCAAGAGGATCACGCCAGCAAAGGCCGGGAGTCCCAACCAAAGTCCAAACAATGCCGTTCTGCTCATCGGGTCCTTGTGATCTCACCTGTCGCAACGTGGCCTGGCTAGCCAGCGAGAGGGCCACACTCGCCAGCCCCGCCCTGTCCGACTCACCCACGAAGGAGTCCTTGCTCACGTTTTCCAAGTCACCAATGGCAACGAAGTCAAACTGCACCGTGGGCAGGTGCTGGGCATCCTCGCAGGGAATGACGGACGTCTCGCTGGTGAACGTGATCTCGTAGTCATTCTTCACAGCCGTGTACTGCTTGTTGGCCGTCTTCAGGCTGCCCTTGGAAAAGTAGTAGACCTGAAGCAGAGAGAGGGAGCTGAAACTTGGGGCACGCCCTGTGCTGAGGATAGGGCCTTTGGAAACCCGGCCTGGGTAAGAGGGAGGGAGCGCCGCCTCGGCCAAGACCGTCATCTCTTTCGGCTCTTGGCTCCAAGGTTCGTCTGCCTGCGCTCCGGACCTTGTTCAGTTGGTCGGAGAAGGCAGGGAACCTGGGCCCAGGAGACTACAAGGGCCTTCTCAAGAGAGAGGAAGCTCCAACCTTTCCCAAGGAAGCCATAAAGCCCAGCCATAGGCAACAGTTACCTACAACAACTTCCAAGGCCGAGGGCGGACATGAACCTGGGTCTCCCCAGTCCCAGACCTATACCTTCACCACTGTCAAGCTGATCTTAAAAAGAGAGGTGTCCCCCATGCCTCTGGATCTCTCAGTAACGCTCACAACAAAAGACTATGGTACAGCTTTGAATAGGTGTGCGGCTGGGTGAGAGAAGCACAAGTTAGCTAACGTCCTGCTCAGTCACTGCTCCAAAAAACAGAGCAGAACCATCACCGCTCGGTGTTGGGAGCGCTGCCCCGGGGCTCAGCAAGATGCCTCCTCCTCCTCAGCCAGCATCTAATCAAGTCAGTCACCTGAGATGTGGTCTAGGCTGCCCCCACAGGTGCATGGCACTCAGCTTTCCTTTATGGAAGCCATGGAGATGATGTCTGTCCTAATCCGATGCTTGGATGTAGCAATGGTGGGAGACATACTACAATCCCTTCCCAGCCAGGTCTACCTTTCTGGTTGCACCCTTGAAAGACGGGCGGCCTGAAAGACAGCTCGGCTTCTCCCACCTGTTCCCCATCCAACCTTATGCTCCTCTTTAGAGGCCCTACCCGAGAGCCCTGGTGAAGGATGCAAGACAGCGACCAAGAAGAAGACACACCTGTTTGGTAGCAGAAGCCCTCCGTTATGGAAGAGTGTCTCGGAAAGGTCGGTGGCCCAGGATAAAGACTAAGTTGCTAATTCAGGATCTTTAAATAAGGCCAACTTTGGCCGGTCAAACTTAGTTATTTTAATTGTACTTTACAGGTAGTCCTCACTTAATGACCACAACTGGGAGTGGCAACTCCATCGCTAAGCGATGCGGTTGTCAAGTGAGATGTCACATGACTGCGAGTTGCAGTTCTACTGCCGGCTTCTCCATCGACTGCTTGTCGGAAGCCAGCTGTGAAGCACGCAAATGTGACCGCAGGACGCTATGACGGTCATAAACGCCTGATGGTCATGAAGCGCTCGATCACGTGACTGTGAGGATGCTATGACAATCATAAATGTGAGGACTGGTTGTAAAGTTAGTTTTTCAGCACTGACATAACTTCAAACGGTCACTAAACAGGGCAGTTGTTACATGAGGACTACCTGTACCTTATAACTGTCAGCTTTGCGAGGTAGTCCAGACAAGCCCACCCAGAAGCAGTAGCTCTAACTTAGAATCTTGAAAGTCTGAAAGTGCATCTCTCTCCCCTGCTCACCTTTACAGTCTAAGAAACTAGAGACATTTGCCACTTCGGCATTGCTTCTGCGGACTCAGCTGCCTTTTGCCTGTTATCTACTCTGCAGCTCTTCCTCCTGTCTCTCAAGATCATTCCCACATACCCTTACAGTAATGCCCAGCCTAATGGCAGCACACAACCGATCCTGGGTGATCCTGAAATACTGGGCAGGGTTGGACATGGTTAGTAGGAGACCACTAGATGGGAGACCACTAGGGCTGTTGGTTAGACTGGGGACTCAATAATAATCACCACCACCACCACAGAGGGCAATGTAAGCCAATTCTATGGATGTGTCCCCGAGGTCAGCAGGAATCAGGTTCAACTCGAAAAACTCTTCTGTTCTTAATCAATATTGCTTAAGTTATACAGTGGTACCTCGAGTTACGAATTTAATCCATTCCGTGACTCTGGTTGCAACTCGAA